AATCATTCACGACTACTCAAGGATTATTATACCCGGTACTGGAAGAGTAAATAGGTCATATTGTTTTTGTGGGGAATAACGGAGGTTTGTAACGTACAGAAGGAAACATTTCCGACCTTATAAAGTATATATATTCTTGATCAGCGTCAATAGTCGAGTCGATAGAGCCATGTCGGTCTGTCCGTCCGTCCGTCTTGTTGAGCGCCTTGATCTCAGAGACTATGAATGCTAGAGCCACCCAATTTAGCATCCAGATGGCTGTTTGCTTAAATACAAGTTTATTTAAAAAGGAAAGGACTTATCCACTAATACGGTGGGTTTTCCATGCATTATTGTCCTTCAAGTTCCATATGCACTCTTAAATACACCTGCCTGTTTTCATACAATATTTGATTTTTTAACGGATTTCATTCTGTCAACCAACACAAAACAGTGTACCCAGAGACCCTTCACTTTGCACACTTTGGGTGTACTGGGCACAGAGCGAAATATATGGCAATTTATGTCACAAGAATATTTAGCTCATTTGAGTACTGGGCTTAAAGATAGAATAATACTATTTTTCACTGGGAATCTTATAGTATTTAATCGGCTAGTTTACTAGTCAACTTTCTGCTGTTGTGAGTACGCAACTGCTAAATTCCTACGGCAACATTTTCTGTCAAACAAAAAACAGGGTAGATTATTTTGTATTATTTTGTCTTATCGTTTGTATGGGAAAATCATCCCTGATTCTGTCCTAAGAAATTGTTGCACATCTGAGTACCGGGCTTTAAAAAAGTTCTGTTATAGAAAAGAAGTATCATCAACAATTTCCAAACCCCATTTCTTTCAAAATAAGTTGGTTTGGTTCCTTAAGGGAAAATCGTGTCGGGTAATTATTATCATACCCTCATACTGTTTATATAAAAATGGTTGTTAGAGTGTAAATATATTTGTTAGCAAACATTTTTGGAGGTAAAGTGTTATCATGCTGATTGGACCAAAAATGTGAGTACGCATTGTTATCAAAAAATCAAATATGTTTGACAGATAAGGTAGGTGAATCAAGTTGCGTCCATTTTTTTCATTCCAATGTTACCATTGAGCCTAGTAGTTAAAATGCTGGAAAAAAAAAAAGTACATTCAAAAGACAAACATCCAAAAAAACAACTTACACAATTCTTTCGAAGGTAATTTAAGAATAATTGTGGATTATATTTTGCTAAAAATTTACCTTGTTATTGAGTTCGCCCTGTGAAATTTTCTTTGACTGTGTGTTATTCATAATAATCTAATTCATAAAATATAAGGCATTTGAAGAAATGTATTTGCAGTGGCTAAACCCACCCCGTCCCGCAGCTTATATTTGTTTTTTGCACATTCTCTCATTCACACTCTGCTTCGCGCAGTGTGCGGCCTCTGACTCTGCCTCGTGTATGGGTCTAGGAAAGGGGGGCGAGCTACTAGGCGCTGATGCTGATCAAGAATATATATACTTTATTGGGTCGGAAATGTTTCCTTATGTGCGTTACATACATTCACTTTGTGCACAAATACTTTCAATATACCCTATGAAAAAAAAATGATCATCAAACCATTTCTAAGAATGCAGTTGTGACCGCGGACCTATCGACATCTTACGATATCCTAGAGCCAACAGATTATCTCAGTACTAACTTATAATCCTATATTATAATCCTAGCTGCATACGGATGCAAGTGCAGATGGCAATGACAGTAAAAATACGGCAAACCTAGTGTGTTCGAATACTATAAAAAGTGTAAAACGCCCCCAGAATCGAGGTATCATTCATACGAACTAGAGACGCGGTCGAAAGTTTGTAATTTTTACGGATTGTAACGCCTTGAAAGCAAGACGGTCTAACTTAGAACTTATGCCAAGAGGAAACCGTTGTTGGGTATAATGACAGTGCTTTGATTTCACTGAAGAGTACCGCAAGGGAAATCCGATTGTCACTGAACGTGGCCACCCGAAGCTCACATCGACTTGCCCGAGGTGACGGACAATTGGCTTGTGGCTTCTTAAAGAAAGAGTTGCAGGAGAGTTTGGCGAAGACCTATAAATTAACAACAGGCATTCTCCGTTGGAATATTTATAGAAATGGTAAAACGATACCTGTAATCCCGAGAGCCTTGATGTGGTCTGTGGTAAATCATGTGCATGACGCAATAATGCATTTGGGGTGCCAGAAAACGTTAGATAAGGTTTATGAGAAGTATTGTTTAAAACACATGTCCAAGGATGTACAAAAATTCGTAGGAAACTGCATAACTTCAAAGTCTCCAAAGTCTCTCTGAATATTTCTTAGTACAAATTGAAGCGTTCCCTAAATTTGTTCAACCATATCATACTACTAATTTTAATGCAGAAAACTCTATTAAATCTACCTATCGCTTTATGGGGTACCTAATCGTATCATAACTAATCAAGGCAGGAGGTACTTCGATACTTCTGTTCATTGCAAAAAATAGAGTTACACTTGATAGCCACAGGTGCAAGTAGGGCCAATGTATAAGTTGAACAAGTGATGATCACAGTGAAGGATATGTTGACAGCCGTAGAGACAGATGAACGCTCTTGGCAGGACGTACTAAGTGAAGGTCAGTTAGCCATGAATTGTACGACATACACGGTAACAAAATTCAGCATATTAGAATTACTGAATGGAAAATAGGCTAGACCAATGGACTTAAGTCCTATAAATGATGGAGTTAATGTATATTGTAAGCAATCAAGAGCTCTAGCCAAAGAAAATATGTAAAGTATTGGGGGCGGGGCGAAATTTAGAAATCTACTTGTAACCGTGTGATATCACATGAGTCTTCACTCAAAATTTAGTGACGCTAGCTCTTATAGTCTTTTATATCCAGGCGCCCATCAATACAGACAGACAGACATAGACTCGGCTATTTATGCCGATCAAGAATATATATACTTTATGTGGTCGGAAATGTTTACAGCTGTGCGTTATACTCTTCGAATAAAAATGTCCAGAAATAACAACTTTTCAGAATTAGAATTACCCTATGAACAAAGTGGTTCTGATTTGTGAGATTCTGCTGTACTTTATTAAATCTGTAAGTTCCTTGCTAATTTAGAAGCCTGCACGAGGCCATTCAACCAATTTTTGTTGATTTACATGAAAACCAAAAGTTCTTTTGGAACCGTCATTACACGTTTTTCAAAACTCGAAAAAAACGAAAATTTTCGAAGAATCTTATAATTCATTGTCCAAATCGAAAATGTTCAAGTTCGAATGCAATACCAGAAAATGGCCCATTCTTGGGACTTAAGCTATAAACCTTTTAAAATTTACAATTTTTGTAAATACTGTGAGCCTCCTTACCCTGCCGCACTCTACATACATAATTGTATATAATTCTATTTCTTTTATGTTTTCTTTGCAGCTCATCGAAGTATATTAATAGTTTCAGTATACAAATAATGGCTTGGATGCTAGTAACTAGCGGTCTATGCATTACAGCGAATGCTTTGTTACGATCCAGCAGCACCTATGATGAAAATACAAGAAAAGATAGATCAAATGAACAAACCTACAAGCACAACATTGAGAGTAAAAATGAAAGTCAAGAAATTTTGGAGCTCTCATCAAAAGAGCAACGGTAAAAACTCCGTTATAAAATTTAACACTACCCGACACCATTTTTCCGCTTCGAAGCAAACTAACTTTTGTTAATAGATTTGGGGCTTTAAACATGCTTTATGATAATTTGTATACCCGGTAGTAGAAGAGTAAATAGTGTTTATTGCTTTGTAGTCGAAAAATGTAACAGACAGTAAAATATTACAAGAGTTTTTCCAAATTATCAACAATGAAACCCAAGTTTCATTTCGAAAAAGAAAGAAGGAGAGAAATGCGTGCGCTAGAATTCAATGTACTTTTTCGACCCTTTTCTTTAATATGTTACAAAAAGCTTTAAACCTAACTTTCCAAAGGTGGCGAGCTAAAAGGTCGTGTTGGCGGGAGAAGTGATGTAAGTAAGTGAGATGTAAGATGTAAGTGAGTTAAGTGTTGACTTAGAATAAGTCGAGAAAAAAACGAGAAGGGACGTGTGAGACTCTTCTTACGCGTCACAACTTGGTGGTTGTTTCAAATTTTAAATATTTTCTTCATCTGTCATCTACATCTACATCGCTTCTTACGCCAACACCCTCTTTTAGCTCGCCCCCCTCCCCAAGAGCCACACGAAGCAGAGTGTGAATGAGAGAATGTGCAAAAAAAACAAAAAACTGATGGACGGGGTGGGCGCCGCAACTGCAAATTAATTTATTCATTCTGGGTATAATAATGATTCGGTGATCTAATAGATATGGTCATTTCCTACGGGGGGTGGGAGGGGGGCGGGGCTAACTTTGAAATACACTTGTAACAGTGTGAGCATACAGCCATATTTGTGCACAAATACAATATACCCTTATTTACTCTTCGAGTATAAAAATATCGCATGCTTGTTTAAAAAATTGTTTATAATCCATGGAGAAGAGGCTGATACAAAATTGGTTGGAACTTCGTTTTTTGTTTTCATATATCTTCAAAATTGTGGAGGTCACAGAATTTCGTCCTTTGTGGAGGTCTTCGTGGCTTCATCTTCAAACAAACTTGATTCAGTGTGGTATGACATGAGTAATCAGACAAAATTTGATGACTCTAGCTCTTATAGTCTCTGACAAACAGGAGTCAAACAAGGCTGACCGACTGGCTTATCTATCTTATCTTTTGTGTGTTACCACAAATTCAATAACCTCTTAACTCTTTGAAAAGTCTATTATAAAGTGTCGGTTTGGTTCGAATAAAGAGTTAAATTTTGTCGAATAGTGTATTCGTTATATTAATAATTTTAACAAATTTGCCTTTAATTACATTTTCAGTAAAACTTTAAATGGTATATCCAATATCAGCGAGGTCAGATGCACGGAAATATCTTGTAGAGTTGTCTGTTCAAAAAACGAAGATTTATACGAAGACATGTCTGCTATAATGAATAAGAGCTCATGTAAACTGATGACTTCAATAATTATCTTAAATCAATCCAGATATTGTCTAGAAAATAATTGGGTATTTAAAGATGTGTATGTATTAGATATTATTCTAAGCCATAGCCACTTGACTGCAATCAAAAGTGCTTCATTTAACGTACCCATATTTTCGAAGGTGTTTCGCATGTCCTGGATAAACCTGAAGATTCAAGAACTCGACAGTGGTGCTTTGCTTGGTTTATACTCGTTAAATAATCTGGAGATAAATTCGAAACTTCCAACCATGAGTATGGCATTTTTACAGCCAGTGCAGACCACGTTAACACATCTTAAACTGAATACACACTTCATATTTTACAGTAACTTGAGTCTTTTTGAGAATATTTATCTTGAAAAGGTAACTTATTTAGACCTTAGCTACAATACATTTCTTGGTCCGCTTAACAAGCGAATATTCATTGCCGTGCCTAACACAACTTACCTCTACTTACAGCATTGTTCGATTACTTCTATAGAGTATAATGCTTTTAGTGATATAGCTCATAATTTAAAGATTGTTGATCTGGCATACAACATGCTTTCTTCGGTCAGTTCGATTGTGCTAACTGGAATTCATCCTATATATATTGAGCTTGAGCCCAACAATTGGCTTTGTAATTGCGAACTTTTGTCCTTGATAAATTACGTCGCTAAAAACTCTAGGATCTTTATAAACGTACCATTTTGTCGCATGCCCTACCATTTTTTTGGTATACTCTTTAACCACCTGACAAACAGTGAAATAAATTGTTCTTTGCCTATTGAACCTATGATTACAACACAGAAAATATATGTTTCAACCACTACTGAGAAACTGACTCATACTACTGCAGGCAGCCAAGAAGTTTTTTTGCCGCGAACTACAATAGGGAGTGGTAAATACACTAGTTCTTATACAAATGAATATTCTTACGGTCCTATAATACAATTGAGTTGCTCTGAGGCGATTGATTTAAATAAAAGTGTACGTCACGATGCACAGAGAGATATAAACACAGATAAAGTCGAGCAAGATCAGTCAAACTATGCCAATAACTTTTTTGTTTTTCAACCCCCAGCAAATGACCTTTATTTGGAGTTATCTGATGACCTTAGTGTACAAGTACGGATTGATAATTATAATGATGTAGACCAGCTAAACATTATTTGGTTCACAGAAATGTTTGATAGTAATAAAGATGTTCGTGATGTAGACTCCTTATACAGCTGTGTGCAATATTCTGCCCCGTTTTTAACGATTCCCCTTCATGGAAATCATACCTATACTTTCTGTATGGTGCCAATGGAAAACGTAGCTATTTCCCCGCTCTTTTGTCAACCTCTTTATGTACCTGTGGTTGGAGAAGAAACTCATAATGCGACGAACTTTGATCAGAACAGTAATAAGCAGTTTTCGGTCGCAATGCTGGGATTAATTTTTTTTCTTTCTACCATTTTTGGTGCAATAATTGCATATCTTGGTATCAAAGTGTACCCAGATCTTTTAGAAGGCTCAAAGAAAGTATTAATAATTAAGAAGTTGGATAAAACGTGCTATATATCAACCATAGCAGAATCGAAATACACACTAGATGCATCAAACAGAAAATACGTTGGTGCACAACTTGGCAATGACCCTCTGCAGTAAGTAATTCATTTGGTTAATTTTTTTGAAGAAATTGAATAAAAAACATTTTTTTACAGTCTTTACTCAGAAGAAACTGACATCATTGGACGTGATCTCGACATCGTTTATAAAGCGGACGAGTATGAAATGCCTAAATATCTTGATTATTCATTAAAAGAGTATGGTGATCTCAGTTTGGGAAGCAAATTTGCCCCCCCACCATTACCAAAGCGTAATTCTAACAATTTAATATTACATTAAATCATGGAATAATATAAGTTAAATATCGCGGACAAACTGAAATTGTGTCTTTAATTTGGACTACAAAATATGAATTCAAAATTTTAAGATATTTTGCGTTTTTAAACGCTGTTGATTGTTTAGAGATCGTTAAAACAATTCGGGGTGCTGCGATAGATAACGAGAAGGGACGTGTGAGACGCTTCTTACGCGTCACAACTTTTATAACCCGTACTCAGTAGTACATCTGTACCTTGTGGCTGTGGCTTTTTTCAAACTTAAAATTTTACCATCCAAAGCTGGGATGGGCGCAGCCAAGGCCCCAAGCAAGCGGCAGCGAGTAGCAGAGGACCCTGCCGCCAATTTGTGCCAGACCAAGCAAGCCAGGCGGGCAAAACAGAGCGTTCGAGGAGGTGGCGAAGGGCAAAACCCGCATTGGCGTCCTGGACAGGGGCGTAATGGATGGCAATGTCCTTCGGGACAAATGGCACATAGTTGCCGCAGAGCTCCAGGATAGATTCCTGCTGGAGCTCGAGGAAAACGGCGGACGGCCACCAAAATGTACGGACGCCGGGTGGCACCAAGGCACGGTGAAAGCCATCGCCTTGCATTCATCTCTCCGTTATGCGTTGTTCTGTGACCCATGGAAGCCTTCAGTGCTTGGGCTCACTTCCGGCAGTATAATCTTGGGGTAGACATCTGACCCCAGTACCAATGACACGATGTGAAGTGGTCCTTGACATGGTCGCCCAAGGGTCCCGCCGGAGCCCTTATCAGGAGTTGAGGTCGCACAGTCAGCACAACTTCCAGCCTGACATCGCTCCTTGTCCTTGATTGGATGAAGGGGATACAAGCACCTTCGGTACCAACGCGAGTGATGGAAAGCACATAGTCCATTGCCAATGATGCGTTGATGCAGCTGGTTGGGTTCACCGAACAAAGAGTGCGGCAGCCTCAAAGGTCTTGTCCCCTGTATCAACGCGACCCATGTCGTCGGAAGGATGCTGGTGCTCCTGAATTGCAGGAACGATGCCAAATTCGTCTGAGGAGCACGGGATCTCGCTGGTGCCGAGCCTGCCCTTGATGAAAGAGAGCGTTACTTCGGACGTGAAGTCAGACGGGATCCTTAGGTGGAGGATTGTATGGTGGCCTTTTCCGCACACCCGGCATGTGCCGCCGTTTCGGCATAAGCGCCCGGAGCGCTGGTGATCCAGGCAATTGTGGAAGTACTTGTTAATTAGCACTGCCCGTTAACGTTTTTCCGCGGCCAGCTTCAGGAACCGTTGGCACTTCCAGGCGCGTGGACTTCTCGGCAGACCCGACAACGGAAGCTGTTGGATCCCCTCGGCTGGTTGCGATGTACGGACGTTGGCGAGGTGTCATGCTTAAAAAATAAAGATCGTGGAATATTAGTGGATGGTGGATAATTTTCAACAAACAACATCAAAAATTTTGGTCAATTGGATACTGGGACGCGGACAGAACTATCTATCGGAAGAAGAATAAGTTTTGTTACTGGCCTCCTTAACTGGCCCACTTAATGGTACCGCGGACAGTTAAAACGTCGAACACGCGGACCATGCCATCTACCCCTGGCGCCTTCCTACCTTCCTAGGCAGCTTTCATTGAGGGGTAGGTTGTCTTTCTTGAAGATAACCATGTCGCCTGCCTAAAGATTTCTTGTTGGAAGTTGCCACTTATTCCTTTGTGTAACTCTTTATTATTCTCTTTAGGTATTCGTCCTTCGAACGGAGGCAAAACTGCTGGTTTTGGCGTCGAGAAACCTTTCAGTTGTGAGATCTTAGGTTGCTTCTAGCTGGATCGCCTTTGTACTGAAGCACACAAGGACACAAACATATTCCTTGGTTATACGGCAAATAGGTTATTTGTATCGGACAAGTCGCGTAACAAGTTGGTTCCCACCGTACAAGGAGATTCGTTGAGAAAACATAAGGGAATAAGGGACATAACTCGAAGACTCGGATGTTCGCGCCCGTCCGCATGCTTTTTTGTTCGCATGCACCTTGTACTGGGTGTGAAGCCGTAAGTACCTCGTCGACATACATCGAATTGAATATGATGTCGCTTGCCAGTGGAGAATCGCTTTAGGACATCTTGCGCAAGTTCCTTCAGCACACGAATGGCCAAGAATGGAGTGGTAAGCTCATAATCACAGAGCTCGCCATTTACATTCCTGGAAAGGATTCGTTGGAATCTTGTTTGCGAAGGATCGAGGGTAATTTGCCGATTCATTTTTGTGATGTCAGCACCATTCGAGGACTTACTGGAGGCGTTAAAGACTACCTGTCTGTATTTTGTAGTGGTGCTGTCCGGATTTCGGAATCGCTGCTTGGTGGCATACGAAATAAGTCTAGGTACTCCTGGAAGAAACGTTTCGTTTCAACCGACTTTCGTTTTTCAGGAACTGAGCTAGCGCGATTGATCTTGAATGCCCTAAGTTTATGCATTCGGGCCTCCTTTCGGTTCTTAATGAGAAACGTGGGCTCGTTTCCCCGGTTTAAGATGACCATCTTGGTGGTTAGTAGATATCTGAATAGGTACTCACCCCGTTCATCTATGTCGGAGCTCCCCCACTGGTAGTGGTGCGCGTTGGCATCGCATCCCACCAGCAGGCCGATGCCTCTCATCTCGCAGTCTGCGATAAAGGCACGTAGGGCATACGAGGTGGGGTCTGGCTGGTCATGCCCAAAGTACGCCGAACATATCCTCAGCGAGCCCTCCTGGCCTTCGAAGCTAACTGAAGTATGGTCTTCGTTACTGAAATTTCGGAGCAAGAATGCATGTTCTGGTTTTACCTCTGTTATCAGCTACGTATAGATTAGAGACTTGAGTCCTCAGACCGAATACCCTGTTTCCTGAGGGCTCCTGAACGAGGACTATATTGGCTCCACCCTTGGCTATGTGGAGCAGTATGGCAGTGCAGGCTGCCTTACAATGATGGAGGTTTATCTGCAGAAGTGTCAGGGACATTCCTCCATTCCATTCACTATCAGGGGACTCTATGTCCTCCCCGTGTTCGAAGGACGAATACCTAAAGAGAATAATAAAGAGTTACACAAAGGAATAAGTGGCAACTTCCAACAAGAAATCTTTAGGCAGGCGACATGGTTATCTTCAAGAAAGACAACCTACCCCTCAATGAAAGCCGCCTAGGAAGGTAGGAAGGCGCCAGGGGTAGATGGCATGGTCCGCGTGTTCGACGTTTTAACTGTCCGCGGTACCATTAAGTGGCCAGTAACAAAACTTATTCTTCTTCCGATAGATAGTTCTGTCCGCGTCCCAGTATCCAATTGACCAAAATGTTTGATGTTGTTTGTTAAAAATGATCCATCCACTAATATTCCACGATTTTTTTTTTTTTAAGCATGACACCTCGCCAACGTCCGTACATCGCAACCAGCTGAGGGGATCCAACAGCTTCCGTTGTCGGGTCTGCCGAGAAGTCCACGCGCCTGGAAGTGCCAACGGTTCCTGAAGCTGGCCGCGGAAAACGTTAACGGGCAGTGCTAATTAACAAGTACTTCCACAATTGCCTGGATCACCAGCGCTCCGGGCGCTTATGCCGAAACGGCGGCACATGCCGGGTGTGCGGAAAAGGCCACCATACAATCCTCCACCTGAGGATCCCGTCTGACTTCACGTCCGAAGTAACGCTCTCTTTCATCAAGGGCAGGCTCGGCACCAGCGAGATCCCGTGCTCCTCAGACGAATTTGGCATCGTTCCTGCAATTCAGGAGCACCAGCATCCTTCCGACGACATGGGTCGCGTTGATACAGGGGACAAGACCTTTGAGGCTGCCGCACTCTTTGTTCGGTGAACCCAACCAGCTGCATCAACGCATCATTGGCAATGGACTATGTGCTTTCGATCACTCGCGTTGGTACCGAAGGTGCTTGTACCGCCCTCATCCAATCAAGGACAAGGAGCGATGTCAATCTGGAAGTTGTGCTGACTGTGCGACCTCAACTCCTGATAAGGACTCCGGCGGGACCCTTGGGCGACCACGTCAAGGACCACTTCGCAACATGCACTTGGCAGATGAGAATTTTCATCGGCCGAGCATCGTGTCATTGGTACTGGGGGCAGATGTCTACCCCAAGATTATACTGCCGGAAGTGATCCCAAGCACTGAAGGCTTCCCTGGGTCACAGAACAACGCATAACGGAGAGATGAATGCCCTCTCCCGTTCCTGGGCGCCCTTCTTGTTGCAGGATTTTCATGCCGAAAACACAAAATTCCAAACTCATCTACAACCCGAAAGCTCTGAGCTTCGAATAACTAAACAGTGTCACGAATAAACGGAAACAACGCATACGTACGCGCGCTTTAATCTTTTTCGAGCACCTAATTTTCCCCCCGACTATACCCGAGAAAGTGACCGCAGCATATCGAAGGAAGTCGATATAACATACTGGCAGGAACCTCCCTTATCTCCTTATACAATGATAAAATGGGAAACGAGTAAAATATTAATCAGTTATAATATCTATATAATAATTTATTTGTTCGATTGAATTCATAAATTTAAAATTGTATTAATTTATTGATCTTTTCCAGCCGTTTACTTCCACTTTAGATTATGTGTTTCTAAAAATTAATTTACTGTTTATTTTGAGTTTCTTCATCTAAATATGACTTCTTATTCTGAGTTTCTTTATAATATTAGACTGCTAGACTCCTACTCCATCTGTTGCTTCCGCCTTTCCGGCAGAGCCTTGGTGTGATAAAAAATCTACCTGTCCGTGCTTTCTCTCGATCCAGCCTTACAGCTTTGTGATGAGGGTGTGTGTTCAGCGCCCTTTGGCTGATTCGTCCCACTGAATCTGTCATCTATCGATGCTGCTACTCCTTGCGGCAACCTTCAGTTTATCTTTTGTCGCCTCGCTTCCGCCCAGGGTGGCGGCGTGGGTCTCCTACCTCTCCCTTACCTGCTCCATAAGCGGGAGCCCTTCGAGATCCTCAGGGACAGTCCTGAAGCCAGAGATGACCCTTAAGGCGACTCTTGATCGTTTGAACAGCATCGATCTTCGCCCAGCTGGCTGAATTAAGGGCATTTTGGAATTCGAGATGTCGGCGCAATATTCCTTCGTGTCCCACCTCCATTTTACTCCCTCTATGGCCTTCTAGGCGATGCTGACAGCCGCCATGGCGGACACCGTCGAGCGGGCTTTCCGGAAGCCATATTGTGCCTCGGATAGAGCTTCAGTCTCCTCCACAAAGTCAGAGAGTCTGTTGTACACTGTCTGGCATGAATGGTGTTTCCGACTGGACTGGGCTATTGTCATCTTTCTGTAAGTGCCTGGGGAACAGTGCTGTCACGATCGTGCTCAGCAGATCTGGACACGTCAGTGTTGGGGTGCTCATTCCTCGGACCCTCTTGGTGACTACCTTATAGGCAGGTACTGTCTATGTCGATGTCCGCTTCGTCACAGATGCGTCGGAAGTTGTCGACCTTCCTAGACATCCTCTTGCCTAGTTGGGAAGTCGTGGCGGCCTCTGGCTCGTTGGGCGCGGTGCCAAGGGCAAGCTCTTTTCAGCTCACATATCTCCTGGGTCTAGTAGCACGGTGTAAGTCGCAAAGGAGGCTTCCGCCTTAGCATGGACTGATCGCATGCGTCGACGATCCGTTGAGCGCTCACCGCACGGGTAAGTGTTTATTTTTTTTTTTTTATTTATTCGTTTATTCCGTCAATCTACTATTTTTTTTTTTTTTTTTTTTTTTTTTTTTTTTGTATTTATTCGTTTATTCCGTCAATCTACTATTTTCTTGCTTTACAATTTTGTAAAATTTGTAAATTACCGCCCAACGTGAGCGGTACTGCCGCAAGGCACTGCTTCGCACGCTCGAAGGCTCCTACTCCATCACCTGCTTACGCCTTCTCTCCAAAACTCTCAGAGTTCGCATAACGCTAGAGGCGAACCCTTGGGTCGGCCAGCATGATCGGCACCAAGGTCTCGGTAGAGATCCTGTCGCTTACTACTACCTCCAGGCGGAGACGTTCGTGATCAAACCTGTGGTACGACCTTGCTGTTTCGACCGCTTTCCGGCTCGATATTAGCACCGCTTAGGTCTTCTGCGCTGCCAGGTCCAATCCGGTGACCGTTAGCCACCACTCCACGGCTCGGACGGCCGCGTTGGCGAGCTCCTCCACTGCGGCGAGGTGCTTGGCTACCACCACGACATTGTCTGCAAACCCCACCATGCTGGTGTTGGCTGGCATCGGTAGTCTCAGGACTCCGTCGTACATGGCGTTCCAGAGCAGGGGTCCCAAAACGGAGCCCTGAGGGACTCCGGCTGTGACTTTGTATGCCCTGGAACCCAGACTGGTCTCGTACATCAGCACCCTGTGTAACGGACACGGGAAGTGTCGTCTCGTCAGCACTCTCTGTCTACTGAAAGTTGCCGGCTAGGCTCAGGGAAAATGGGGTGGGTGTTGTGCTGCGAAAACGAACTCCTTCACCTAACAAAATCGTAGACAGATTCACGGGAACTGGGATTGGAATTACAAACCCGGACGGAACTTAAGGTCCACTACCTACTGTGAAGAGCAAGGTGGTTGTTCTCTTCCCTCTTGACCCACCCTCCATGTAGAATAACACAAGAATATGCCATTATGGTTCTACCCAAAACCTGCCGCTGCTGCCTATGTGCCTTAGGAACCCCTCCCAAAAATCAGATTAGAAATTAATGTTAAATCGTTATAATTTTACTTTGAATTGTATGACTTCAGGTTGTTTGTAACCCCCATTATTTCTACCATAACCCTTAAAACTATTTTTACTGCATGTGTATATATATGTGGGACTAATTTAATAATAGGAATTCAAGAGAATGATCAAATATGAATAAAAATAATATAATCAAAATATAAAGTAAGAATTAATTAATTAAATGAATTAAATGGCATAATTTTAGTGATTATAGTTAATAATAATTCATTTTATATATGGTTAAGCATGAATGTCTCACTGTGTAGACGCTATTCTCCTGACCCGGAGTGTATGTGTGTATATGTGTGTCTACTTACAGACCTTTAAACAGCTGTTGGTGTCGTTGGGCCCAATTTCACGTTCTAACTGTTAAAGAAATGTAGAAATATGCAAAATAACAAGAAGCGTTTTGAAGAGGTATTTTACCAATACCCTTCCATGGACACAATGAGACCGATCTTACACCCTTTTAGAATCTACTATTAACTACGCATAAATTTCATGTTTTTCTTCTTCTATTTCTAAGTTAATGTCTAGGAATATTTAATATTATTGAACAATTTTCTTTTCTATTTTTTTTCATCTATCCATGATTTTTCATTAAATTCTCTTTTCTAGATTTTTGTGATTTACTTTTCTTCCCTTAAGTGCCTTTTAGAATGTCTGCATCGAACAATTTTAATAACCTGAGAGAAGGAGAGAATAGGTGACATACGGTCAGGTGGGTCTATTTAAGTGCGCATAGGTGTATGGTCAGCCGCAAGGGCAATGACCGCTGAGCTAATTTTTCCACACCCTACATATGCAAGCACCAACATTTCTTTACACAAGGCGCGGTGATATAATATAATAGATGGTTTTATAGTTGCGCGTGAGATATATATATATAAACAACTCGATATATGTATGAACCAACAACCTGCAGGCAAGGTCCGGTGGCACCAAAAAGAGGGACTGATGATCGTGGTACTGGAGCGGACCCCCCCTCCGAGACCGAGGGTCAGGCCAGGTCAGCAATTTCCTGCCACACGTGGATCATAACCTATGTACAGTACATACATGGAATTATGTAATAAGGTCACTTTTTCATTTTTTTCTTGGCGTACCTTATCCAGGGGTTGGTTTTTAAGTTTTCGTCTTTGCAGCCACAACACTTTNAAGAGGTATTTTACCAATACCCTTCCATGGACACAATGAGACCGATGATGCACCCTTTTAGAATCTATTATTAACTACGCATAAATTTCATGTTTTTCTTCTTCTATTTCTAAGTTAATGTCTAGGAATATTTAATATTATTGAACAATTTTCTTTTCTATTTTTTTTCTTCTATCCATAATTTTTCATTAAGTTTTCTTTTCTAGATTTTTGTGATTTACTTTTCTTCCCTTAAGTGGCTTTTAGAATGTCGGCATCGAACAATTTTAATAACCTGAGAGAAGGAGAGAATAGGTGACATACGGTCAGGTGGGTCTATTTAAGTGCGCATAGGTGTATGGTCAGCCGCAAGGGCAATGACCGCTGAGCTAATTTTTCCACACCCTACATATGCAAGCACCAACATTTCTTTACACAAGGCGCGGTGATATAATATAATAGATGGTTTTATAGTTGCGCGTG